AGAGAATTAAGGCACCAAGAAGGCTCGCCCCTCTCACACACCCCTCCCCTCCTGGGAGAACCCTCAGTGCCTCAGTACGTCTGGTTTTCAGGTGAGCTGCAACAGGAGCGTACAGCCTTCTTTACCTTGACTGTGGGGCAAAGAGAGGCTAGACCTTCAGGTCATTTCTAGGTTCACATCAGCCGTGAAGGTGACGGTGACGAGGTATGGCTCAGTCATTTCAGAGTGAAGGCAGATTTGCATCATCCTAAAGGGCAGGTGTAAGTTGTCCAGATATCTGACGTGAGTCAGTCGTGGAAGTGGAAATGCACTCCCCCCACAGGCATAGAAATCAGTGATGGATTGTGTTTAAGCCAGATTGGAAAGGGCATAACCATGCATATATTAATCACAGAGCCAGCTCTTAATTATCCAGGGAAGATTTTTCAATTAGTTTTCCTTGGCTCTTTTTTCATGGTTTCCCTTGGTAGTAACACCAGGCCGTCAGGCTGTTTTCTTTGCAGCGCCTTCATAACAGAGGCGAGGAGGTGGCTGAGCCCGGGCCAGCCGCATTAGGGCTGAGTGCTGCTCGGGGAGAGGCCTGCTGGAGGGGCCGGGGGCCAGCGTGCCAGGGTGTGTGGGCTTTTGAAGGCTGACTCTCTCTCCTCTGGTTTCTAAGTGTTGAACACACGCTGCAGCCCCCTGGGTCTCTGCCCTTCACCCAGGTTATGAAGCAGGACAGCCTCCTCATTCTCAATACATAAATGTCTGCTTTTTGTGTCTACTTGAAGACAGACCTGGAGAAGCCACCTTATTACATGGCAGGACTTTCCAGATTGTGTTCTTTGGAATAGTGGTTTCACTGTGTGTTGGAAATAAGATTCTTGGTCACTTAAATTAGGGGAAAACTAGATTTGTGGGAACTTCGCCGGTGACACACTGTTTCAGTCTTAGGTAGTTTTTGGACAGTATCTTAATTAGAATGTTAGGTTGGCCCAAGCAGTTTGACTTTTTCTAATCCTATAAATGTAATGAAAGCATACAATATAAGATAAAATGGAAAATAAATTATAGCTGTTAGTCGACCATCCCAGGGATGCCAAAACCAGAGGAGAGGCCACTCAGCTTTACATCCAGTCTAAGAACACAAGTCCTTCAGAAATAGAACCCAGCCATTTGCCATCAAGTCAGCTTTCACTCGTGGTGGCCGTGTTTCCAGTGGATTTTGGGGGAAGAGTGGGGCAGGTGGCACCTCTGAGTGGATTTGAACTGTCAACATTTATGATTAGCAGTCTAGGATGCTTACCATTTGCACCACCCAGAAATTCACTTTTAGAAGTAGATTCCTTTTTGTTCATTGTAAAAGAAACAACAACTCAACAACACCAACAACATAGAGTTCTGTTGGCCTAGTGGATAGAAAATTATGCTACCAAGCCAAAGGTGGGTGACTTTAATTAGCAGCCCTCAGGTGTGGTTTTAATTGTTTTTGGTCAAACATTCTTTTACATGGTATAGCACTGGTCTGTCCATTTGCTGTACTCGTGGTTGCTGTGATGCTGAACACTGTGACACTGATGTGTCAAATGTGATAATGGTTACCCATGGTGGACTGTGTTTAGTGGAGCTTCCCAATTAAAACAAGCTTGGAAGCAGGAGTGGCATCCACTTCTGAAATAGCTTGCCTCTCGAAACTCTGTGAACCTGGAGAAACTATGGAATTTATACAAGTGTTCAGGTCTTTCGTTCATAGGGCCACTGTGAGTCATCAATGACTCAGCGGCACTTAACAAGAACACAAGAAACAGCACTGACCCCAAGAAGGGTCCCTGATTTTATGAGTCTCAGTATAGGCCATTCTCAAAAAAGGTGATCCAACAGAGTATCGAAATTATCAAACGATATTATTGATACCATAGACTACTAAGAAAACCAATAGGTTCATCTTGGAGAGGGTTAAACTAGACTGCTCCTTGGAGGCAAGGATTCTGAGGCTCTGTCTGACATGTTGCAAGGAGGGACCAGTCTTTAGAGAGGGACATCATGCTTGGAAGAGTGGAGGAACAGTGCAGGAGAGGAAGAACGTCTGTGAGGTGGATTGATTCAGTGCCTGGAATAGTGGGGGTGGTGGGTGTGTCAGAGACAGACTGGCACAGGATAGGGCATGGGTTAGGGGTGTTGTACATATGGTTGCTATGAGACGCAGGTGACTCGACGGCACACAACAACAACAACATTATTGATATCACATGCAAGTAAAGTCTTGCAAAATGTTATTCAGAAACAGCTGGAACGGGTTGTTCAAAAGGGAACTGCCAGAAATTCAGGCTGGATTCAGAAGAGGCTGTGGCACCAGCAGTATCCTTGCTGCTGTTAGGTGGATCCTGGCTAAAAACAGAAAAGACTAGAAAGATGTTTACTTTTTTACTGGTTATGCAGAGAACAGAACAAGTTAACACTGCATGTTTTAAAATCAAGAACAATGAGCCTTATGATTGTATTGTTTTCATTCTCCATACTCAGTCTGTATGCTGAACAAATTGTGAGCTGGACTATATAAAAAATGTGACATCAGGGTTGAAGGAAATTCATCAACACTCTGATTTAAGCAGGTGACACAACCTTGCTTGCTGAAAGTGAAGGCTTAAGTATGTACTGAGGAAGATCAAATACTACAGCCTTCAATATGGGTTACACCTCAGTATCTAGAAAACAGAGATCACCTCTGTATGAACAGACGGCATCATGATAGATGGAGAAAAGTTTGAAGTTGCCCATGACAGCAATGATTTCCTTGGACCTACAGCCAGCACCCATGGTAGCAGCAGTCAGGAATTCAGAAGACGTGTGGTGGTGGGAAGATCTCTCAAGGACCTCTTCAAAGTTTGAAAGAGCAAGGAGATCAGTTTAAAGACCAGGGTGCCCCTGATTCAAGCCATGGCCTTTTCTGTTGCTTTATATGTATGTGAAAGTTTCGCAGTGAATAGAGAAGGCTAGATGCCTTGGTATTCTGGTGTTAGGGTACCGAGTATCCTGTTTAACACCCAAAAAGCGCACAGTTTATTATTGGAGGAAGTGCATCCGGAGTGCTCCTGTAAGCAAGGATGGCGAAACCTCATCTCAGTCACTTTGGGCATCTACTCATGAGGAAGGAACCAGCCTGTCCTTGGAGAGAGACATAATGTTGAGGCGGGTCAGAGAAAGAGAGGAAGACCCTTCACCAAGGTGTATTGGCACAGTGATGAGCACAGCGGGCAGAGATCATGATGGTGGTTCAGATAGTTTCACAGGGCTGCTGTGAGTCATAGAGGACTCAATGGCACCCAGCACCGGCGCTGTAGACGGGGGTTGGTCTTGTAGAGAGAGGCGCACGGTTAATTAAGATGAACCAGACGTGCATGTCAGATCTGACTGAACTTGGAATGCAGACGAGAAGGTGGCTTCCTGCATCCCACACTGGTCCTCCTAAATCCTTTTAGGAGTGTGCCACCCTGACAGCGCCAAGCAGAACTGTCATATCACCATCACTCGGTGAAGGAAGGCCCTGACGCCTACTGTTGGAATCGTCTGTGTCTTTGAGAAATCGTGCGTTCATTCACCTGCCCTTGAATGCATGTCTTGGTTTTAGTTCTCATACAGAATATCCCCAGTTAACACCAGGCTGGTTCGCATTCACGGTGACCTCGGACTTTCAGAGTAGAACAGTGTTCCATGGAGTTTTCCATTTTCAGTTTGTCAAGTCCGGATTGCCAGATCCTTCTTCCAGGGTGCCTCTGAGAAGACACGAACTTCTAACCTGTAGGTTAACAGCTGAGGGTATTAAGTACTTATCCTTCAGTACTATCTTTTGCCCCACTAGACAGGCTCTTTAAATTAAGCTTTAATAGTATTAATAAAGTTATGTGCTTGAGAGTGAAGATATTTTAATATGGATATTGTTGCCTCTGTGTTTTATCATCTCAAACAATGTGAACATTTTGAATTCCCTCCCACTGCATGTTAAGATGGGTGAATTTAGGTTATGATACAGTTTCATTCTCAAGCCTGAAAGAAATAGTATAGAGACCTATCGTTCAGGTGAAGATTACTTTTAAGTGGTCAGAACTCCCTCTCACAGGTCCATCATTAGTTTGCCAAGGATTCTCGGGTCTGATTCTGCTGAGGTAAGCTACATAGTTAGGATTTCATTCACTGCTGTGCAGGCAGTGATAGAATTATCATCAGATTTGAACTGAGCTCTTAAGGGTTTTCCTTTTCTGTTCAATGGAGATGTACTAACTTTGGATTTTCCTCTTACATATTTATATAGTTGTGAATATTAAGAAGGAGTCGATTGTGTTCTTAGCATAAAAGATGATTTGATTTTGACTCCTGGCACCACCAGGCTGTAGTCTTCTGTGGAGGGGACTTGTCTCCTGTAGAGGGTTTTCGTTGGTTGATTGGAACCACAGATCTTTTGGTTATCAGCACTTGTTTAATACTAATGCTACCAGGGCTCTTTCAGAGACAATCACATCAGGAACGGAGAAGCAAAGATAGTTTTAGAAAATAGTTCCCAGATCTCCCCGCCCTTTTCCTCCTTTTATCCTGTCATATTTTTGGTCAGCAGAAATGAATCTTAGGAGAATGAAACTAGGGTGGAGCTAAGCTGGGGTTTGTGTTGCCTACTCTACAGTCTGCTGTGAGGACCGCTGCTCTGCCTCGGCTGGGCCCGTAGAGGCCCATCCCCTGGGGTTGGCCTGATGGCTGCAGGCACGAAGGCCTGGGCTTTTCTGATGTGCCTCTTGTCCTCCTTGTAGAGTCCTAGCCGCTTTTCTCCTGATTCTTTGGGTTGGTTTTTTTTTTTTTTTAAATGGATATTAGTTGTTTAAGCAATATGTCTGTTTTAGAATTAAGATTTTATTTAAAAAAATTAACTATTCATGCCCCCTGTAAAAATAGATGTTGTTGTCTCTTGTGTTTTATTACCTCAAATTGCAAAGTGTTTCTTGGACTAACTTGAATGTTTTTCCCCTTGTTAGTTAGAACCTGGCCCTTTAGATGAAACACAGATTGCTACTATATTGAGAGAAATACTCAAAGGACTGGATTATTTGCATTCAGAGAAGAAAATTCACAGAGATATTAAAGGTAAGGCGATGTTTTGTTCTGATGTCCTTTCCCACCTGTAAGGCAGGTTTAAGTCTACTCGCTGTAAACATGCCTGCTCTTTTCTAGGGCTCTTTCTCGTGCTGATAGGGCATCTCGAGCGTGCGTGGGGGTGGGCTGCTTTGAGGAGGGTCTAGCACAGCACATAGCAGTACAGTGGCGAACGCTGCAGTAACGTCAGGAGACATCTTTGGGTTTATTTTGCAGCTGCCAACGTTCTGCTTTCTGAACACGGAGAGGTGAAGCTGGCCGATTTTGGAGTAGCCGGCCAACTGACAGATACTCAGATAAAAAGAAATACTTTCGTGGGCACCCCATTCTGGATGGCACCAGAAGTCATTAAGCAGTCGGCCTATGACTCCAAGGTAAGAACTGATACCTGGGTGCGTTTTGTAGCTGAAGTCAAGCACGTATCCTCAAGTAGACCAGAAAGAGAATTTTCAGACTTTGGTTATAAACGGTTTTCTTCTTTATGTCCTGCTGTATGATTTATTATTAATAGAGGATTTTGGCTTAGAGAGTGCCCTGCGTGATGGTGGGAGGAGTGTGTCAGTGAGTGGGGGAACCGAAGAACCAGGGTGAAGAGCGAGGGTCAGCTTGGCCTTGCTGAGGTCAGGGTGACTGAGTCAGGAAGACTGGGATGTGAGGAAAGGCACAGGGGATGTTCTGGCAGGAAGGGCTTTGAGATTGTCTGGGAACAGGCGGTGTGTGGAGCCCCCATGATCCCGATGCGGGAGAAGAGGGCCTCGGACATTACGCTTTTGGGAATGATACTTGAGGGACAGACAGACAGAAAGGATCCCAGGAAAGAAAATGAAAGAGACTTCATGAGCTTGTCAAAGCAAAACCAAAAAAGAACAGTGTAGTTAGTAATTACTGTAGGCTCTTCAGACTATACTGTTTTTACTTCTCTTTTGAAACTGTTGTTCGCAGAGTTCTTATTAACATGAGGCAAAAGTCGTGATTCCTGCCTTCGAACATGCCATATTTTACACTGAAGGGGGTATTTTCACCCGTTACTCCCCCGCTCTCGGTTGTCCTAAAGCTTCCTTAATGTGTTATGTACCATTGAGTCAGAACCAACCCAAAGCTGACCCTTTAACCTTTTCAAAGGCAGTAAATCGCACAGTAGGAGATGGCCCATCTTTCTCTTGTGGAGCAGCTGGTGGATTTGAACTGTGTACCTTTGGCATGGTATTATAGTTTCTTACTGCTCAGCTACCAGAGTTTCCTTGTGAATAGAAACTAAGAGTCCCAGGCCTCTCTGGCTCCTGTGTGTCTCGTTTAGCCTTCATTTTTTTAAATGAATGAACCCCAGCTCTGCGTTTTCTCAAAAGCCTGGGCACCGTAAAACCTACTCACACATGGTCCATCAGAGAACAAGACTTTACTGAACCAAATACTTCAAACTAAACAGATAGTAAACTCAGATACATGCCAAACATTGCTGCTGCTTTTTAAACAGAAATCTTGGGCTGTAATATAGTAGTTTTCCACTTTTAAAGCACAGCTTATCAAGGGTAAGGTCGTTGTTTCTTGCCTTTGACCAGTCAGTTAAAGCGTTGGGGTTGTGGCTAAAATAGCAGGTGTATCCCCCATGGATGACAGAACAATCATTGATGCCTTTGGATTGAGGTGCCGGAGGAGAGTCTTGGATTATACTGTGGACTGCCAAGAAAACAGAATGGGTCTATCTTGAAGAGGGTGAAACCAAGTTTCTTCTTGGAGGGTAGGATTTTGAAGCTCCATCTCACATACTTTGGGCACGTGCCCAGGAGGGCCCCATCCTTGGAGAAGGACATCATGCTTGGAAGGGGAGGGACGGTGCAGCAGAGGAAGACCCCAGATGAGATGGATTGATACAGTAACGGGTGATGGGGATTGGTGTGTTGGAATTAGACTGACTCAGGACAGGGCAGGGTTCAGAGCTGCTGTACATAGGGGTGCAGGCATCTCAGCAGCACATAACAACATCACTCACGGACGACCTGAACTCAGGGTCCTAGCTCTAGATGAAGGCTTTTTCTCCTGTCTCCTGTTAACACCTGTGGGCATGAGGTGGATGTTCCTTAGAGATTTAATCCTGTCGATTGATCCAGACTCTTTAGCATAACTGTCTGTAATCCTGATTTAGAACATCATAGAGGTGAGGATTTACAGCAAGTAGACTACCTGTGTCAGATCACAGAATGAAAGATAATTACATCATCAAGGCCCTGCCAAGTTGATGCTTCATTTGGGGGCATGCAATTCAGTCTGTTAACCTTCCGTCTGTTAACCTTCCCCAAGAGAGCAGAGCTGTCTCGGCTCTGGTGACCGCCTGTGTCCTGTGTGACTGCTCCACACATGCTCTTTGGGGATCGATTTGCCAGCACTTTTCCTGCTGTCCAGTGTTGGGGTCCAGGCTCTGCTGTATTTTAAGCCAAGGCAGGTGACACCTCCCAGTTGTGCTAGAGCAGAGGTGACAGTCCGGAGTCCTTGCTTGTCTCATTACACCTCACTGCTTATTCTCTCTCTGGTAAATCAGCTGATGGACTGTAGTACATGTGGTTTACGATTCAGATTCTCTCACCACTGTTTGCTTTAGTATTTCCTTTGGATTTTTTTTTTTTTTTAGAATTGCTAGGGACAGTTTGTATCCCTGTCTGTCTTCGTAGATCAGGACCTTTCTCGGTGCTTGAGGGCTGCATGGTGAAGCTTCACCACCTTTTACTGCATCGGGAAGCTTTGCCACCTTCCTGTAGTTTTTATAGAATTCAGAATGTTTTTTGTCTGTTCATCAGATGCGTGTGTGTGTGTATGTGTACACTTTTTATATATATAATATATATTTGTTGTTGTTGTTGTTATGTGCTGTTGATTTGCTTACGACTCGTAGCGACCCTATGTACAACAGCCCTAAACTCTGCTCTATCCTGTGCAAGTCGCACTGTCTCCGACACACCCATCCTGATTACCCCAGTCACTGAATCAATCCACCTCATAGAGGGCCTTCCCCTCCTGCGCTGTCCTTCCACCCTCCCAAGCATGATGTCCCTCTCCAAGGACCTGTCCCTCCTTACAACATGTCCAAAGTTTGTCAGACAAAGCGCCAGAATCCTTGCCTCCACGGAGCAGCCTGCTTTAACTCTCTCCAGGTTGAATCTGTTTGTTTTCTTAGCAGTCCATGGTACATTCAATACTCTTCTCCAGCACCACAGGTCAAAGGCATCAATTCTCCTTCTATCCTCTCTAGTCATTGTCCAACTCTCTGATGCATAACAACTGATTACAAAGACCATGGCCTGTGTCAGACACACCTTAGTCTCCAGAGTGACACCATTGCTCTTCAGTACTTTGGAGAGGTCCCTAACAGCAGTCTTTTCCATCGCAGTATGTCTTTTAATTTCCTGGCTGCTGGCGCCAAGAGTGTTGACTGTGGAGCCAAGCAAACTAAAGTTGTTAACAATCTCAGTCTCTTCACCATTCATCCTGGTGTTGCCAGTTGGTCCAGTGGTGAGAATTTTTGTCTTCTTGATATTGAGCCTCAATCCATACTGAAGGCTGCAGTCCTTGGCCCTCTGTAGCAAGCACTTCAGGTCCTCCTCAATTTCAGCAAGCAGGGTTGTGTCATCTGCATATGAATTCATCTGTTGATTAATCTTCCACCAATCTTGACGCCATATTTCTCCTTATAGAGCCCAGCCTCCCGGATAATCTGCTCTGTATACAGCTTGAAAAGGTATGGAGATAGGATACATCCCTGGCATACACCCTTCAATAAAAATATAAATATATATATATATAATCTGTACACACACATTTTCTTTTAGGTAGTTTAAAGGATATGGTCTCAATCCTAGAGCCTGCCGGTTTGCTCCAGGAGGAAGGGACTGGGGAAAGCACACATTTATTGTGGTTCCTGTTCATGACTTTACAGTTTACTCTGGCTTGCATTAAAAGCTAGTTCTTTCATTGGTTTGGATTAGATCCAGCAACTCTTAACTGGAAATGATTTGTGAAAATATGTTTATGCGTAGTTTATTTTCCAAGTTTGTTGACCCAGGAGGTATGAATCGTGAGATAAGGCTAATATCTGTGTCTGTGTTGAAGCTTATCAGAGCTGGGGGTTGAGGTGTGGGCTCTTCAGAATAATGGGCCACCTTTCTACCACTTACCTGTATTACTGGCCTAGACTAGCAGCCCCTTTGTCTTAAACAAGACCTGGCACCCGGTCCTTATCAGAGGGTCCCTTGTGGATATCCTTCCAGAGGCTGGCTCCCTGCTCACCCCTCCCCCCAGTTCGCTCTTCTCTTTGAAAAGTAAAAGAAAAATTCCTTCATTGGTGTACAATTCCTGCCACCCCCCCTGGCATCCTCAGAGGTTAAGGCTTGCCTGGCAGTGTGAATTGGAACATCCGCATCTTCTCTGTCTCTGGTTTATCTATCCTAAGGACTCAGTGGCTTACATACTTTGTATATGTAGCAGTTAACAAAATTGGAATGATGGGAAAAGCCACCTTGAGTATAGAGGTAGAAGATATTTTCGATTGCCTCTTCTGAGACTGCAGAGCGTCTGTTTCTTCAGTGTTAGTCTTCTCGTTCACACACACTGAGTTGCTGTTACTAGTTGTTGTGGTGTTGATCTTGACTCCTGGGGCCCTGGCGTGTGCACGGTGGAGCAGGCTGGTCTCCCAGGGCACCTCTGATGGGGTTTGAATCACCGACCTTTCAGTCACAGCTGAGAATGCTTAACTGTATCCCCCACGCAGGGAATCTGCTTATTGAATGGTTTTCTCTTTTATCCCCGTAAAGTGCTGCACTGCCATTCTAAAGGTATGCGGTTTGAATCCCACCAGCTGCTTCATGGGAGAAGAGTGGGCCCTCTCCTCCTGGGCAGTTTACTGCCTCTGAAAATCCACTGGAGGGTCAGCTGTGAGTCAGTTCTGACTCGATGGCACCGAACAACAAGAAGACTTATTTTCAGACTTAGACTCAAGACTTATTCAAGACTTAGACTTACTCCTTCTCGGAATCTCTGAAGTTGTCTTTGTTGTTGCAGGCAGACATCTGGTCCCTGGGCATAACGGCCATCGAGCTTGCGAAAGGGGAGCCGCCTCATTCCGAGCTGCATCCCATGAAGGTTTTATTCCTCATTCCAAAGAACAACCCCCCGACGCTGGAAGGAAACTACAGCAAGCCGCTCAAGGAGTTTGTGGAGGCCTGTTTGAATAAGGAGCCAAGCTTTGTAAGTGTCACAGAGGTTACAGCAAGTACCTCTTGAGATGGGGAGTCCGTTTTCCTTAATCACCAGGAAGTTTGGGGGGAAGTGGCCCTCGCTCAGGGTGCATTTTCTTGTGTCCTTGCTCCTTGTGGGGCTACAAGTGGCAGGGCTGTTGCACCCAGCAAGGCCCACATCCAGTAGTCCTGCATTTGAATGGCTTTTAAATAGAAATCCAGGGAAATGTCCTGCCGTGCAACCTTCGATTGCACTAAGGCATGAGATGCCACCCACAGAGTTTGACCCAGTTCTCTCTGCATCTGAGGACCACTGCATGGACAGTGTGGACAGTGGAGCCCTTCATCCCTGTTGGTAGTAGCCCTGAGACCACAGCTCCAGGGTTGCTTTTCAGTAGGGAATGGGACCTGAGAAAGCACACTCCTTGTTCAGAGGGGGAGCAGGTTTATGGCTGTCAGTACATGTCACATTCTCATAGGGCCTCCTTTAGTTCACGCTGCTATTCAAAACTTGAGCCCCTGAAGTTTGACTTTTTTAAAAAAATGCACCATGGGACCCTGGTGACGCAGTCTGGAGTAGGGACTGGCGCTGCCAATCCAAGGACTGCACTTCTCTGGGCATCAAACCCACCGGCTGCTCCATGAGAGAAAGGAGGGCGAGCTCCTCCCGGGAGATTTATAGCCTTGGACACCCGCTGAGGGTCAGCTATGAGCTGGTTCCAGAGCAGCGACATGGAGAGCACACACCCCCTCCCCCCTGCCTTCAGTTCTTTCATAGTGGAAGCTAAAGATAAACCTGCTTATTTTGCTATTGTTGTTGTTATGTAAATGTGCAAGTTAAAATAAAAACCAGTCCTATGAAGAATAACATAGTCAGGTCTGGCCAGTCTGCGTGGTCAGCGTGTGAGCCTGTGTGTCTGTCTGTGCTTGCCAGATGTCTTGAAGTCCACATGTATACTGTTTTCTTTTTAAAATTAGCATGATTGATTTTATCTGAACTCCAGGTATGTTTTTATTGTCATTTTTTTTTCTTTTAAGCATTAACATCTATCTCCCTTTCAGTTTCTAGTGTCCCATGCCTCACTGAGCTTGATGGGTGTTCTCCTTTTGAAATCATAAATTTTTAATATTTCAGAGGACAGTCAGGGTATATAAACTGTTAAACCATTTTCAGTGATGGCACAGTCTAACTATGTCTTTAAAAGAAATGTTTTCCATTTCTACTTGGCATGTGTTAAGAAAGAAAAAAACAACAGTGAAATTTATGAATCACCCACCTTATTTTCTTCTCTTCCCCCCCTTTATGTTTAATTGACTGGCAAAGCCGAGTAGCAGTAATGACTACAGAGCTGTCGTGTCATTTTCTTCCAAATTGGAAGTTTTCCATGCGTTTCAGTGTTTCATATGGCACACTATATTCCTGCTCAGTTTCTCCATTTAGCTCAGAGTAGCCAAAAGACCAACTCTCATCTTCAACTGGGTGTTTAGCTTTACAAGAGCTCCCCGGCTTTCTAATTGGATGCCAGGTCTGATAGAGGGATTGTCAGACCTTCCAATTAGAACCTTTTAATCAGGCATCAAGTTGGGAAAGGGGTTCTGTGGGTTCATGGTGCTGTGGCTTTTATGTCACGATGTTAGCCATCAACCACACAAGGAACAAAAGACACACACACACACACACAAGCTCATGCATGTCTTAACTCGTTTGCCTTCTGAATAAACAACATTCCTAGTATCTGCATATTAGTCCAGCACATACATTTCTCCATCACTTCCATCCCACCTGCAATACACTGAGGAAGAGAATGAAGAAGAGGAGTTGAGAAGGTGAGCACATCTGAAATTAAAGCTGTCAGGGTGACTGACGGGGGCAGGCAGGGCACACTGCCTGATGGGAAGTGTACTTGTAACTCCTGTTGTTAATACACCATTGGTTTGGAGTAGAACTGTTAGCATTATCTTACTGCTTCTTGGGGCCACACTTCACTTTCCCTGGGAAGCCGCTCCAGATTTATCAGCTCTTGGATTGACCATCTTCACACGCAAAGCCCTTGGTAGCAATCATAGTGTGCTGCTTGGATAACGTCCTTCCCCGTAGCCACAAGAGGGCTTGTCAGAGCTTGTGACTAAGGAGATTCAGGTGCCCTTTCTTTCTCTTTTTAATTTTTTTTAAAAAATTTATTATTATTGGTACTATTTGTATATGTGTGTAACGTCAAATCAGATCTGACTGGTACCGGAGGAGATTGCCCCTCCTTCTCCAGCACAGCATCTCGTGGATTTGAACTGCATACCTCTGGGGTTGCAGTGCAGCTTCTTGCCACTAGGCCACCAGATCTCCCTTCAGGTGCCCTTTTTTTAGAAGAATTCCAGTTAATGTATTTATTATTCGATTTTTTTTTTGGTAGACCCAAATATCATTCAGAATTAACAGATTATCACTGAACATGTGTATCTCTTTCTGGAGGAGGGTTTATTCCTGCCTGTGAGTGGTAGGGACCCCTCTTTGGTGGGAGATGGTGACACACGCTGCTCTCGCCCTAGTCCCAGAATGACTTTGAATGAGTCAGGGGGAGGAAAGCTGTAAAGTAGAACTTGATCCTGCCTTATTTATGTGCTCAGCTTCTTGACATTCTGAGATCCAAATCTGCCCTTTGAAATAGAATCAAGTGGCACGTAGTTGACGTCCATCTCATACTGATTGGTGGTTGCTTTCCAGAGACCCACTGCGAAGGAGTTGCTGAAGCACAAGTTTATATTACGCAATGCAAAGAAGACCTCTTACCTGACTGAGCTCATCGACAGGTACAAGCGATGGAAGGCAGAGCAGAGCCATGACGACTCCAGCTCCGAAGACTCGGATGTGTAAGCGCAGGCGTGCTGCTCCAGGCAGGGGCCGTGAGGGCGGACAGTGGCTGGCTGCTGGCCCTGCCTCCCATGTGTCCCCACACCTCCAGCCGGGGTGGTGGCCACCATTCAGATTTTGTAAAGTCTTTGTTTCGAAAAGAGGTCTCATCAAGGGACGCTCTAGTTTTCATCTTGAAAGCAAGTTCTTTCAGTGTATTGAGAGTTCTGTCTAAAATAAGGAAGAAGTTGTGTTTATGTAAGATATTTTGAAATTCTAAAAGCTGTGAAATCTTAAATTACGGCTTCAAAGAGAGCTGACGCTCAGGAAGCAGGATTTGTGCTTTTGCAGTGCTGGCTCGGAGAGGCGGGAGGGCTTTCTCCGAATGCGCCTGGCTCTGTAGGTTTGTGTATTTTAAAGGCTGGGGGATGGACGTTCACGGCCTAAAATTCTGGTTAATGGCATCACGTGCAGAAGAAACTCACTCACTCACCACCATGGAATTTGAGATGGTGCTGAGGTGATCCCCAACTGGGTTTCTGGGGTGTCCACAGGGGAGAGATTCTCTGCTGGCCTGAACCCTATCTTATCGTCTGCCGTCCTCATCGTCTCTGACGCAGTTGAGCCCCTTGCTGCAGTCACTGTGTCAGTGTTTCTCATTGAGGGTCTTCTCTTTTGCTGCCGCTCTGCTTTTCCAAGCGTGATGGCCTTTTGCAAGGAATAGCCTCCCCTTGCAGCATGCCCAAAGTACGAGGGATGATGCTTTGTCATCTTTGCCTCCAAGGAGCACTCAGGCTTCACTTTTCCCAAAACATACCTGTTTGTTCTTTGACATTCCATGGGGTACTCAGGTCTCTAGTGGATTCCTTTGGGTTACTAGTGTAACTCAGTTCTGCTCAGGCCACGAGGGTCCCACCACGGGGCCTAAGTAGCTGCATTCAAAGACCACGCATACCTACACTCAAAGCGTACTCTCATTCATAGATAGGCCTTGCTCAGCCAAAAGTATTTTTTCCAGGTAGAGGGTTGTAGTTATGTGCCGTTGAGTCGTTTGCGACTCATAGCTACCCTGTGTACAACAGCCTTAAACCCTGCTCTATCCTGTGCCAGTCGCACTGTCTCTGACACTCTCATCCCGATCACTCCAGTCACGTGAATCAATCAACCTCATAGAGGGTCTTTCCCTCTTG